CAAAGTCCGAGGGGTTTCGCAGTCAACACCGCTGCACCTGGCCGTCACACACCAGTTGAAGAGCATAGCTGAGATGCTCGTCAAGGCGGGGGCGGATGTGGACAAGCGCAACGCGACAGGACAGACGTCTCTGACGCTGGCACTACAGGGTGGCTACTCAAACATGGTGCACGCTCTCCTCAGCTTCCCCGAAGTGGATCCGAACGTGGGCAACGAGGACTGGAGTCCCATAGAGATTGCCGTCGAAGTTGGAGACAGTGACGCGCTCGAAGCGCTCCTACAGCGCCCGGATATCATACTTAAGTTCGACATACCAGAAGGCGAACCCGCCCCTGCCGTCACTGCCAACCCCGACGGCACCACAACTTTTACCTCGGGGGGGAACAGGTATAGGCCGCTCCAGCGATCACTGCTCTGGCAAGCGATCAATCGCGGCCACGGCAACTGTGCCCGTGTGCTGCTAGCTGACGGACGGGTGCCCAAGGCCCTTCGCGACTTGTCCGGGGCCCTGCCGTCGTTTGTCGGCGTTGACGACGATATCATTGGGGAGGTTGTGCAGCTCCACGCGTCGAACAGCTGGCAGGCCACGGACGACATTTTTGGCTTCCTGTGGACCACGGACCGCGAGAGCGTGCCTGGACAGTATCACATGGCAAGCATGGTGGACGTTGACGGCAATTGCCTGCTGTCTCATCTCATTATCTGCGGGTGGGAGGAGGAGGCGATCGACCTGCTCAAGCAGAAGGACAGCCCGAAAAACAGCTCCAACTACCACGGGGAAACGGCCCTGATGCTGGCTGTCTTGTACTCGCGCGCCGAGGTCATCAAGTTCTTGCTCGAATCGCCCATCGGCGGCGCCGTCGACTGGCTCGTGGTGAACAGATGGGGGCAGAACCTTCTCGTGTACGCAGAGAGCGCCGAGAACGACAGCCTGACGCGCAAGGTCGTGGCGCGGGTGCAGAAGGAGGCCAAGCTGCGGTCGCGGGCGGGCTTTGGCAGCTTCAACGAAGATCGGCGCCGCCGCCCTGGGCGTGTCGACTCATTCTTTGAAGCCGAGCTGAAGACGGTCATGGACAAGCAGCTGGGCAAGTTCCGCATCACGGTGAAGAAGAAGCGCTCGTGATGCTGCTTGAGGGGGGGAGATGGCATTTCGGGAGGACCTGGGGATTCGGTCTTTGCAGAAGCGCTCTAGGCGTCGCGGATGTAATGGTATTTGCGTGTCGACGGAGGCCTTGTCCTTTGTAGCCGCCGCCTTGTGGTTTAGGTGCCAGGAGTTTGGTAGTCTGACACTCTGAATCTGATTTGCTCGTCTTTCGGCAGTGACCTCGTAACACAGGGCAGGCTATTTCTTCTAGCGAAGGTGACGATCCTCACCTTGGGAAGGGGGTTGGGAAGGTTATTTCACAATCCTAAGTCTTTTGAAGACTAATTCACACGATCGTTGGCCAACAGCTTACTACTCGTCATGTTGGAAGGCTGGTATCAGGGAATTTGATATATCGGTAGTGCACATTGTTTTTATGTCAGTGTCCTCGAAGCAACTATGCCCCGATAATAAGGACCATGACCACTCAACACAGGTGAATATCCAACGTTCGGTAGTTACCAGCTGTATCACGACTACTTGGATGGCGCTAGATATTTTGGTCCTCCAGATATCTGGCCGGCGCTTGACGTCCCGGGAAGTCATAGGCCTCTTACAAAGCGAATAATTTTTCCGCGCCTTTATAAAAACATACTGATCGTTATGGTTACTTACAAGTTGTTACTCGAGCATTGAAAAAGGTTTTTCACGAGCATTGAGACACGGTCGAGGACGTCAGACTTGCACACGAACGACCGCTGCTCCAGCGCCTCATTAGATAGACTTGTTTTCTAGATCAGAGGGCGGATCTACAACTGGGGGCAGCATTCAGCCCGGAGACAATCTTCCTCTTTCGCAGAGCCCATGCATGATACCTTTGACGGCAACATGCTGGGGCAACTCTTCAGAGCTGCTGCGAAACACGATATTGCATGTAGAGTTCGATATCGGCAAGCCGATGGTGCACGCACCGATTCTTGAGTTCACGGCAATTCATGACTAGTTGTCTTGATTACGATGCGGGTATCGCACGGGAACTTTCATACGCTGTGGATTCGTGTAAACAAGATAATATAGAGGATCACGACGCGAGTGAACCCATTCATGCTAAGTGCCCCATCTGGACAGATTCGGCCACGCCAAGCAACCTCGCATCCCATCGAGTCCGCCATTCTGCCGTGTCGCCCATGGAAACGAAAACGATGCATCGTCTGATTCTGGAACAGTCCTCCTTCCGTCACACCGCTCGGTGTTCGTGAGTCTTAGACCGAGCGAGCAGAATACCCAACTCGGATAGACTCTTTTCACGAGCCGACGATCATGTCCCGCTTGGCCCTACGAGGCCAGGTCCCGACGTCGCGGCCGAGGCTCCGCGGTACACCGCCCGTGGAACCTCATCACATATCACCACCCACGAGTCATCCCAAACAGTCTGAACTGACCGTACAAGTACACTAAAACTCCAAGGTCCCCCGGAGACACGGCGGCGAGGCAGTGAAGCGAGAGCACCGGCCCGCCCACCCCCCCATTGTGTCGGGTCCCCTTCATCGGCCTAAACGCATACTCGCTCGCAGACTCGGTCGTGCCAGCTCACCGCCGGTCGCTTCTCTTCTGAATTCGACACGCTCCCCCCTTCTTTCCTGAGGCTGAGGCGGCAGACGCCAACCGAGGAGCCACTCGCGTCTCCGTCCGCAGATCGTCCATGCGGAACCCCCACTCGAGAAGTTCGCCCATGCTCTTCCGTCTCTCTGTCTGGTATCTGTTCGGCTCGGGTGGGATGGGCGGAAGCGCGCCAAGGCAGGCAGGATCAGAGACGGAGGCATAGCGTCCTGCATGCTACGCGCTCTGACAGCAATATTGGATCGCGACGTGCATCCCGACCTCCGCGTCGGGCTGCCGGTACTTTCAGCAAAGGCGGGTAGGATCCAAGCACCAGACATCGGGCTCCTTCATCGCTGGCGGGACGTGTACATGTATACCATGTACATGCTCAAAAGTTGCCACTCAACGATCCTTGACCCGTCCCATCCCGCCGTCAGGGTTTGAGGGCAAGACACCACGACCCCGGTAAGACCCGCATCTCCGACTCCTCTCCTCTCTCTCTCTCTTTCTCTCTTCGTCCTCGTCCCAACCACAATCGGTGGGCGATCGCAATCATCACAATGAAGGCGAGAGCGAGGGCAAATGGGAAACAGCCAGGGACCGTTCCAGGCCCCCCTCGTTGCTGCGTGGGATGGATGACCTGCTGTGCCGGGGCCCTGCACAGCCGCTACGCCCACCCCCAACCCGTGGTGCTGCTTCGCTCGGCACAGTTTGGCAGCGAGGGCGCGGGGCGCCGGAATGGACTCCCCGTGGACTGGGGGTTGGGGGTTGGGGGTTCGGTTTGTTTGCACGGACGGACGTGACCTGGGCCGTACGGGAAGGTGAGACAAGGTGATTACATTATCGGAAACCGCATCTCGTGCTGAAGATGGACGAAGCGAACGGGGGGGCTTTGCCGCGGAAGGCTATCTAGGAAGCCATTTTGGCTTTGAGAGGGGGGGGGGGGGGGTTGGGGTTGCCCTGGAGTAGGTTCGCGCGGTGTTCAGACGATGATATGGGGCACGGATATTGGAGAGCGTCACATTGCCCATTGCAACGCTCCATATAGCGAGACTAATGAAGCTGTTTAAAGACTACCATCAACCAGTAGGGGCACGGAAGGTTCCATGTTGTCATGACTTGTTGGGCGCAGGCCTGTCGCGTTTTTGCTTCATTCATTTGCGCTTTCCACCCAGTTGATCCATCACATCTCATCACCTCAAAAGGCTGTTTGTGATTTGCTTTGGCTGCCCGATAGTAGGCGCCATTTGCTTGCTAAGAACAATCAAACGACGGCTGCAGCACCGACGCCGCGCGCACCCCGGCCGGCCGGGTAGGGGGTGGCGAATAAACTGGCCCGGAATCAACGTGATTGCTTTTTTTCTCTCCCGTGCCCCTGGAACAACAGCCGCAGACATCACTCTCCGTAGGCTCGTGTTTGACACGCCTCTCTCACGCGTCTTGTTGCGGCCGTTGGGACCCGGAAGGCGTCTTCCTTCAGCATGAGACGTCCCCTCCAACCGCGACGCGTGAGGCCACCCCTGCTGGTCGTGCGTGTGTCTCGTTCGTCCGCGCTGGCTTTTGAGTTGGTGCCTCGTTCCTGGAGTCACGCCGCTAGGCAGGTCTGGGATGTCATCACAATACAATCGCCCGTCTTCGCCTTCCAAGGGTATGCTTGCGAGAGCTGGCAGCACACTTTACGCCCACGCAGTCTCACAGGTTCGGGTCCGTGGACATGGTAAACCTCGGAGCGGCAGCACAGTGTGGTACCTGCTCGAGGGAGGTCAAGCAAAGCGGAAATGAGAGACAGGCTTGAAGAAGCTTCTGCAAAGGGTAGCACCCGGCAGCGCCATTCCGGCGCCGTGTGTCCCGCTACCTCTGCCGGAGACTCGCACTAACCGGCGGCCGCTGACGCCGCTCAGGGCAGAAGACCTAGCGGTAGCGGCCATCTCCACCTCGCCGTTCTTCGCCGTGCTGCCGCCGGAGGTCCGCATCGAGGTTCTCGTCATCGCTTTCTGCGGTCTGCGCCTGTAGGACGACTTGGGCCGTGGCGCCACCAATGACGGCCGGCCGCGCAGGCACTACGGACAAGCGCCGTACTTGGTCCTCACGCTCAAGCGAGATAGGACATGGCAGTGGACGGACGGTACATGTCATCAACTGCTGACCATCTGGCACTTGGACGAGTGGGCGCCGCAGGACGAGCCCATGCTGCCGCGACGGTACTACTGTATGGATAGGCAGGCGCAGTGCTGCAGGCGAGCGTATTTCCTGGGGTTAATAGGGTGGCTGCTAAGCTGCCGACAGGCCTAGTTCACCTGTAAAGTGACGGTGCCACTCTAGTGATGTACGGCTTACAGGGAGCTGGACAGTTATGCTGAAACTGACGAGCGAACGAGCTCATGCTGACGGGGACGATGATGAGAAACCTCCCACGCGTGTTTCTGCCGAAGCGCCTCGCCGCCAGTACATCCCTAGAGCTCACCTGGGAGCTGTCTCCCGGGGTCGAGCGGACGAAGCTCGACGCGTGCGACATTGACGCGCTACTCGCAGCGCTCACGGCGCTGCCGGGGCCAAGGCCGAGGCATCTGATTCCGACGCTCAGGTGGCGTAGCGGCAACTAAGTCCACGAGCCTGCAAAACTAAACGCACTCAAGGTTGAAAAGTCACTGTTTGTCCGGCTCGACCAATTCGCGAGCGAGAGGCTACGTCTCGAGCGCTTCACGGTCGCCATCCCAGAGAGCCTGTGGGCAAGCCTCGGAAGCCGTGATGTTGCCGAGTTGCCGAGTTGCAGCACTAAGCGCCTTCTGAAGTATCGAGCCTCGTCCCTCCCGAGAATGGAATGGATGTCTGGCATGCTCTGGTGTGGCGTTCTCTGAAAAGCGAGGGGCGTGACGAGCCCATCGACGAGGCAGAGCACAAGAACAAGCATACTTTCACACGAAAGGTCCAAATGAACCAGACAGATGAGAATGGCCCAGTCATTTCGAGCAACGGCAACGTCACTATGCCGAACCCGCCGGCCGCGTACGACAAGGGCAAGCCAGTGCCGGATCGCGGGTACTGCATCGTCGAGGGTCTAGTGAACTGGCTCGCTCGTGATACAGCTAGCGTCAACTCTGGTCTTTGATAATTACCAGAAAAGTTTGACTCGCCGCCGCAACATGAAAGCAAATGCACCGTGATACTGTACACAGTTCGTCGTCGTATCGCGTGCGCCTCGCATTTGGTGGTAGAGGACCCCTCCTTGCCCTCCTGGCCTGGGCGCTCGAGCTCTCTGAGCTTTGATCCTCTTGGCGTGCAGCGACAGGCCGGCATGTCCTTGTTTGTCATGGGTGATTCCGTCGTGAACAAGGTGCAGAGACCCTGTGCCTTACGTGTGGTGTCGGTGGTAATAGTATGCAGATACCGAGTCGTCTTTCGCCGGGCCTACCTGGTCAGGATGCGCGTCTTTTGCTTCGCTGCGGCCGAGTACAGCTCGAGCTTGAGCAGGACGCTTGCCCCTCTCCCCCCTTCCCTCCCCGCATGACACTGGTCGTCACGGCAGCCCTTAGCATGATGCTCATAAGGCCGTTCGCATCGTTGACATGTTTCGTGACGCTTGCTTCCCGTCCTTTGACACACGGAGCCGTCGACTGCCGGACTGAACCTGGGGGCGATCGAGGGCAGCCGGGGGCCTGGCCGAGGGGTGTTCCGAGCACTCTTTGAAATCGATCTGTCTGTCTGGTCTGGACGTGTCGTCGATACCTGCCAGTGATGCCCCGAGTTTGCAAGAACGTGCACAAACCCCCCTGCCGAGTCCTGTTCCTCTGCATGCGAACGCGTGCTGTACACTCCCAACCTGTGCTGCCCACTCACGCGGAAACGTGCTCTTCGACGATTGAGAAGGTGGCCATGATTTGTTCGATAGAACGTGCTCCAGCATGAAGAAGGTGCCTCGAGGACAACCTTAGAGGCGCCGATCAACCGTTGAGACAGAGCCGAGAATGAAACGTGGGCATAGATATACCCACTCACTCAGCCAGTATTTATGCTCTTACCTTTATGCTTCTGTCCTGTTCATGCCATCGCTTCCATGAGAATGATGTGACGAGAGGAAGGCGAGGGTGACTGGCACTGGTCATGGGCTGGGCTTCCAGAACCATTCTCTCCCGCTCGCGCCATCAAGGTCATACGCAGGAGCATGAGTAGCATGGTCAGCCCTGCCAGGAACAGCCGTCGCCGCCGGTGGAGCTCCATGACATGATGCGCAACGAGTCGCGATGCTCACTCCATCCATCCTGCAGTGGCACACGCATCATCATCCCCTGTTGCTCCGAGGGTCCTCGGCCTTACCCCAAAACACACTGACACTATACAACGACTCAGCGCCTTCGTCCGAAAAGGCGACGCTGAACAAATGAATACGCCCTTCGTTGACACGTGAACTTCACCGCAATCAGGGCGTGGCAGGGTCACGGCCACGAGTTCCCCTCGCGGCACCTGATTGCTCTGCCGAGACAGTTCCGGCATCCCCAGTTGCGGCCTTCCCCGCGTCGATAGTCCCGGAGCAACCACCGATTCGGGCGATCAAAGGCTGCCTGAAGGGGCAATGGGGGGGAGGTAATCGGGGTACATGTACGAAGGCAAACAAACCTTGAAGGGGGGGAAAGAGGGGAGATGAGGAGATCATAGGTTGATGGCGGTGGTTCTCCATCTCGTATCATGACAAGCAAAGCCGCCCGAATGAGCAGGTCCCAATATCTCGTAGCCATAGTGACGCGTATAACACCATGGTGTTGCCCCGACCCTTGATGATGCTCCATCTCGGAGCTACCGACTCGGCCGTCGCAGCACCTCGTGATACCACGAAATCATTGACACGGTCCGCGTCAAGTGGGACACGTGCTCGAACGACTCGGGGTCCGACTGCCTGACGCCCAAGGGCTTCACGCTGACGCGGCTCGCCGTGAGCGACGACGCCGCGCAGGGCGCCGCCTTAGTCGACGTGTACAACTTCCACACCGACGCCGGCACGGCGGCCGGTGACCTGACGGCACGCACGGCGACTGGTCATCCGGCGCCGCCGTGCTCGCCGCCCGGCCCTCGACACCGCGTGCCACCCGCCTCGCCTTCCGCGGTGGTGCCCGTCTCGACGCCGTCAGCGTGACCCTCGCCGACGGCACGGTTCTCGCGCGGGCGGCACCGGCGGTACAACCTCCGAGCTCGTCCTCGCGGCCAACGAGCGCTGGACCGCCACCACGCTGTGCCAGGGCAAGCGCAACGACCGCACGCGCATCTTCTCCATCGAGGCCCGCACCAGCGCCGGCCGTACCCTGCGCGCCGGCACCACGACCAGCGAGTGTCGCCAGTTCACGGCCCCCACCGGTTGGGCCATTGTCGGCTTCCTCGGCCGAGGGGGCGACGAGATAGACCGTCTCGGCTTCCTCTACGCGCGACAGTAAAGGGAGGGACACTGATCTGCCTTCAGACGCGTCATCATCTCTCTCCTCTGTGCCCGCTTTGTTTCTCTCAGGCTGGCTAGCACCTCCCGCTAGCGATGTTGACTGTTGGGACACCAGCCCGGTGCCGCCACCTCGGCCCTCGCGGCCGACACATGTACAGCGTCGATCAAACATCGGACGGTGTGTGAGATGGTCTTCCTATCCACATACGCCTCGGGCACTTCATTCCGCCCACCAACCCAACTCCTAGTCCTGAGCCCTACTCTTGGCCTCAACACTTGTCTTTTTGTCTGTCCATCCATGTTCTGCCCTTGGCCTTCTTCACGCACGCCCCCTTTCCCCCCTCCGTCCGCCCTGCCCAAGCGACGGCAACTGCAGTGATGTCGACTGGGCCATCCCTCAGCTGAGTGGCACGTCTGGCTTCAGGGCCCGGGACATGAACAAAGAAGAAGAAGTAAGACTTAGAAATTAATCCAAGAATTACCCTCATGCTGAAGACGCCATACGCTTGTTGACGATCCCCCGCGTCTCAACGCGCCTCGGGAGCCCGTGATCATGACATCGTCACCTGTCAGTGGTGGTCACCATGAGACATGGATACATGACAATGGTCCAGCCTCGGTCGCGGGCTGTGAGATACGAGTATGAGGGGCATCTCGTAAATCATTAGTCGCAAACGGGAGAAAAAAAATAGTTTCTCCCCCAACATGCATCCGTCTCAAAGCCTTCAGTGTGGGCTCTCCCCCCTCGGCGTCTGTCCGTCCCGCCCACGAAATGGTGTGAAGAAACATAGATCATCTCCCCCCGCCCCGTACCTACATGGTACGCAATGCCACGCCTGTCACGCTAGTGATGAAGAAACCCACGGCACACATCGTTGCCGTCTCGCCTACCTACAGTAGCTTCCAGCCGCCCTGATCGCCATGGGGGCCGGGCCAGTGGCAGAGCCCGTCGGGTATTGATCGACAGGGACCCCAGCAAGACCGCGCGCCTCCATTGGCAATCGCTTGTTTTCTTGCTGCCCAGGGCTGCCTCGGGAGTGCGACGGCACGGCGAGTGAAGAGGCCAAGTAAGTGAGGATATCGTAGCACTTGTCTCAAAACACTGCTCCCTGGAACTGGCCCCGTGGCATCCATGAGGACATGTTTGAAGCGTGCACGTCGCATGTGATGAGAGGGCCCAAGCGTGCATTGTGAGCTTCGACTGACGAACCGGCCCTTTTCTTCTTCTTGTTTTCCCCGTTGGCACATTCACCGCGGTTGCATCTAAAGAACTTTGGCGAGAGAAGAGAAAGTCAGAACGTGCAGGTCAGCATAACATGATTCTAGGTTTTGGAAGCACGCCGGTTCCAAAAAGAACGTCCGTGAGGCGCGCCATTCTGGTAAGCTTCACCCCCGCAGGCCACGGAGGTTCCGAACATGGGCGAAGGCGCTCACTGGCGCTTGTGGATGCATCAAGTTCGGGAACGAGATAAAAGAGGGAGGGGGGCGGCGAGAGAAGCCGTACGTTCGGAACCCAAAGCCATCCCGCGCGGCGCCGCTCGATGGCGTGGAGAACCCGCTTAGTATCCATCGTCATGCTCGAGGTGGCTGCAAGCGTGCTGCCTCTAACATTGTGCCAAGCAATGGACCATATTCTTCTCGGACCGTGGCTAGACTGAGTCTTGTTCGCCCGACAATATCGGCTTTAACGGGTGCGGTGATTACATCCTGCCCAGAATAAAGATCTCACACGAGGCGTCGGAATCTTGTGTTCTTGTCATGCATCTGAGCTCCCCAGAGCGCGCCTTAGGTTCAACTGTAAACGGCCTGGAGTTCGGCGCCAAAAGCGCGGTCTGGAGGCTGAGGTATCGATCGAGAGAATACAGTCTAGTCTGAAGCGTGTTGAGATGAGGGCCAGGAACAGCATCGTACTATCGGGGTTGCAGAGGCACGCCATGTCGATCCATCTGAGGCCATCGATAACAGAAGCTGCATGGCGTCGGCCGGCTCTCTCTTCAAAAGTAAAACTTGGAAATATCCCCCCACGTCAAGGTGAGAATTCTCGTTACGATGATGGTTTTCTCTCAATACTTTACCGATCGGCCGGGAACGCACTTCAGTGACCACTGGCGACACATCTTAGTGGGTCAGATCGGCGACGACCTGAAGCACAGAGGCAGAAACAGGTCGCGACGCCTAAGTGTTGGTCCTTGCTGAGGAAGAGCATTTGTGGACAGGCGCCTTAGATGCATCGTGCCCCGATCACGGGATCGTGGGGGGGCCGTTGATGGCCACAACCTGGTTGAACTTCAAGCTCATACAAGGTCATCGGATATACAGCTCAGTCTTCCAGGCAGACTGGGTTGGCATTGTTCAATAAGACATGCAGTTGGCGCAAGAGTACAGACCAAGAAGGAATGCTTGCAAAGGTCAGTCTTGTGTGCTTCATGCATCGTGCAAGATTTCCATGGCTGCTTTCATGACCGATGACGATATATGCAACACTTTTCGCATACCTGGAGGAGGTTAATGAATCAGAGAGCCCTGTCTTCGTCTGATCAGGCGGCCAGAATGGTCAGCAGCAGTAAAAGCAGAAGAAATCATCCCGAATGGCAACATGCCAGCAGCGTAGTTTCCGCGTCCTAAGCATGCATAAGTTCGGAGGGGTACAGGTGCCAACATGAAACGAGGATACCCTCAAGAATACCATCCCCGAAAACCCCGGGTTCCAGTCATCAGTTCGCGATTCAATATTGTAGACATTTCCCAGGTGTGGCGAAGCATCATTGTCGGACTTGATTGACTCCAAGATTAATCCTTGGCTTTGGGCTTGTTTTGCCGGATTTTCGAGAGATGTTGGGTCGCCGGGAGCTATTCGCTCACGTCCTCTCGAGAGCTAGGGCATGTGATGCGTGAGGCTTACCCAGGCAGCCACCGAGTGCAGATACTTTTGAACTTTTATGGCAATCTGGATGATCAAATCTCGACTCAATGAACCGACATCGGCCATGATCAGTGAACTGTGCCTTTGTGTTGTTCTTGTGGTCGGTTGTTGGGCATGATCCAAGAATGCTGACTCTCTTTCGATGCGGCTGTGTAACACCGATCACCAAGCGTTGGGAATATTGGGCCAAGACCAACTGACTCATTGGTGCACTATTAACAAACAATTGCTCGTATAGACAGTTCTGGGACCGCCGAAATCCAGATCCAGAATCTGCAAGATGATATGTAGTAGCACAAACGAATTGGGCTGTCTCGATGAGTCAATGCACTGTTCAGGTTCTTGTCAGCGACGGCTGGCCTGCTCGTACATGTGATAGTGCGAAGCGCGGTGCGGCCCTTTCAAAGACACACGTAATACGTTTCTACACAGGTTCGAGACACCAAGCCAAAAGCCTGGTGGCAACATTTGGAACGCATGAACAGCTCTCACCAGGCGCCGCAGTTTTGTACTACCGAATCCTCCTCGTGATGGACTTGTTATATCCTTAGACCCGTCGGAGTGCTTTATTGGCCGAGGGCCGCAATGTAGAGTGTATTCGCTCACAAATTTCCCATGAGTCGCTCGACATCCGGCAAGTCCGGCTTGTAGGCAACTGAGCCGCTGGGAACGGGCAATGTAAGGGCAGGCAGGCAGACATTATTCCCGGCCCAGACGACAACCCTCCGATATCGTGTCGAGGAGACGTAGTTGCATTGCTCAACGCGGCCGGTCATGTGGCGTCTGCGAAGGTAGACATCGTTCGAGGATTGCTGATCTTGGGGACTGTTCTGGCTGTCAACCAGGCATGGTCATGTGGGTCGTGTGGTCTGGGCTCACAGTACTCGGCTCAAGGCAGAGCTTTTGCGACAGGGGGACCCTGCATCCTGGCGAGGTATACCATGTACATGGCAGTTGGCAGGGACACTCTGGGGAGGGCGTGACCCTGTATTGGCCTACGCGTAGCCCTTTCGGTTTCCCCAAGGCGTGGAAGAACAACCAATGTCTGTCAGGTGATCTGGACGAGAGGGAGCTTTGTTAGGCAATGAGGCGGCGGGTTCGAAGAGGCCACACTTGTTATGACAAGAATCCTTCTGCCAATACTATGTATGTCGATATCCAGAGTATTGCAGAGTGCCATGGAGGAATAGACTTCAACCGCCTGCAGTATGAACCATCCGGCGGAACCGAGTCGATCTTCCCCATTATCCGGTATCCGCATCACTGCAACACTGAGTGTGTTCCAGCTGGAGGGGAATTGCCCTGTTCCCATATCGGGGAGGTGAGCCGAGATTTCTTCCCTATTAACTCATTGAGCGGCCAGCCATCGAAAAGCCATCGGAAGTGCAATCGGTGGCCGGGGTCATTAGTGGCATGCAGGAGCCCAGCCTTGCCAGTGTCCATTCCGGTCGAGGTGCCATCGTGGCAGCTGCGTTACCTGCCAACCGAGACGCAGGTAGGTGGCAACAGTACAGTCGCGCTTGAGGCCAGCGCGAGGCGGCCTGGCTGCTTGACTTCTCCATGTGTAGGCGACGTTGTAGTGCATGTGTGGCTGCGAAGATACCGCATTGATGAATGTAGGCCCGGCCATGCATCAGCGGATCATGTGTAGGACTGAATTGCTGGCTGTACGGTGGTGCCAGCGATGGCGTCCCTTGACGCGTGTCAATATGGACACTGATTTCGATAGTTTACGAAGGGATACGTCCTGCTCCTCGCGCAGCCATTTTGCATTGACAGCGTCAAACTCTTGGGGCCACTAGTTAGTGACACCTCGCGCGAGGCGAACAAAGGAGGGAAGCAAGACAGGGTCGTCGTCTGCTGGAGGGGGTGCTGTTTCAGATTATGCCGGACCGATGACAAGAGACAGAATGATCTAGCTGTTGCTTTTGGGAGTATAACACAGTCCAGGACGACATTGCGCTTCCACGGCGGCGGTGCCTGTGATGACGGCTACAGGGAGAAGGAAGCAGTAGCGTGGCTACAACCGTGGCACTCCATGAGCCAGTCAGTGTATTGCCTCCGCTCGCCGACGCACGGTACACCATTGGAGATGTCTTTGAATATGGCTTGCTGACTTGCAGTGGTGTCGATTTGGTGCGTCTTGGATGCTCGAATGTTTTGCCTCTCGGCAATGGTGGTTGGCAGGCAGCAGTCAAGAAGCAACTAGGTCTTGAAAGAGGGTTTGCGGTCGTGGGGAACCTGAGCCA